ACAGCGCAAGGGCAGATGTCTTCACTGTGTCTGGTTGTGATCCCCAGGTTGTGCCAGTCAGCTTTCGTATGATATTGTTTCTAGCACCCACTTTTTGTGTGATGTTCAGGCAGTGCTTCTTTTAGGTCAGCGCACGGTCCAGAGTGACTCCCAGGTACTTGGGTGCGCTGCAATGCTCCAGTGGGATTCCTTCCCAGGTAATAATCCTCAGAGCTCGGGATGCTTGTCTGTTCTTAAGGTGACAACTCACAGAATCACACTAGTTTTGGGAAGGGGGGGGGGTTGTGAGATGCAGCCCAAAAGAGAAGTGCTTCTGTGCTCTTCCAAAGTCCAGAAGAAGAATGCTTCCATGCTCTTCCAAAGACTAAAATGGAAGACTATGAACCATCAAGATTATTAAGATCGTCTGGAGAGGCCCTGCTCTCGGTCCCACCGGCCTCGCAAGTGCGCCTGGTGGGGAGGAGGGACAGGGCCTTCTCGGTGGTGGCCCCTCGACTCTGGAACTCTCTCCTACTGGAGATCAGAACCGCCCCGTCTATCCTGACATTTAGGAAACAGGTGAAGATGTGGTTATGGAGACAGGCATTCGACGAGTGAGCCAACACCCTGAGATATGGACGGAGGATGAGGAGCAACGATTTTAGTCTGATGACTGACCATTATAATTATTGATTGTAATTGCTGTTTTAATGTTTTACTGTAATATGTATTATGATGTGTTATTGACTGTATGTGATATTATGGTTGGAAACCGGACTGAGTCCCTCAAGAGAGGTGAGAAGGCCGGTAGACAAAACTTTTAAATAAATAAATAAATAATAAATAAATAAAATGTGTTCTGAAAAGCAACCCCAAATGCCTTTCCTCCTCTCTCCCCGCTCCCTTTTCCATCGTGGAGGGAGAATGTGTTGTGCTTTCCAGTTCATGGTTGACTGAGGGCCTGGGTCCCGTCCAGCAAGGCTTTTGCTTTTGTCTCCCAACCCCACCACGCTGCTGCATTTACGTTGTGCAGAGCTGCAAATCTTCCTGCTTCTGCTGTAGCGCAAGCAAGCAAGCATGAATCAGGTTTGCGGTTGTGCGAGCTTCCGGTGCCGGTGCTCTGGTGCTTCTGCCTGCCTTGGTCTCCTCCTGCCACAACCCGCTTGCCTTCCACCCTTTGCACCGCGGCCTCCCCCGTTTCCTGATGAGAGGGAAGCGGTGCCTGATGCTGCCTGCGGCACCAAACGTCTGGCGCTGCCGCCGATTACTCATGTCTCTGGGGACGTTGCCTCCCCTCCTTGAACAAGGAGCCAGTCCCACCCCAACCCCATAATGAGACCCTTCTTTGCTCCTCGAGGCAAAGAAAAAAAAAGGACCTCCTGGTTCTTTGTCTCTGAGTTCTTGCTGTCACTTGCCTTCCTCCATGCCAACGAAAAGTGCGCTGGTTGCTTCTGTGTCCTTTAATCCAGAATGTTCAACTTTCAGCTTGTCATGTAATGTCGGATTGCGGCTTCTGTCATTCATCAATCCTGGACACGCTCAGCAGGGATGATGGAAATGGCATGGCCCAAAAGGGATCACAGGTTGCCCACTTCTGTTTATTTTAGAGGTAAAGGTTTTCCCCTGACATTAAGTCCAGTCGTGTCCGACTCTGGGGTGTGGTGCTCATCTCCATTTCTAAGAGCCAGCGTTGTCTGTAGCCACCTCCAAGGTCATGTGGCCGGCATGACTGCATGGAGTGCCCTTACCTTCCCACCAGAGCGGTACCCATTGATCTACTCACATTTGCATGTTTTCGAACTGCTAGGTTGGCAGAAGCTGGGGCTAAAAGCAGGAGCTCACCCTGCTCCCCTAAACTTTTTTAAAAAATAAGTTTTTATTAAAGTTTTATAAAGTTACATAGAAAGAATGGGAAATATTCAAAAGAAGATAGAAAAGTAGGAAGAAAAAGAAAAGAGATTACCACCCACTCCCCACCAACAGTTTCAAAAGTCTATATATCTACAAAAAGGAGAAGAAGAAAAAAAGCAAAAAAAAAAAAAAGCAAAAATATTAAAATTGACTTTCCTCTCATCTTCAGGTTCTTAGTCTCATTAGTTATCCGGTTGTTCCAAAAAAGAAAAGAAAGAACCATTTCCTCTTATCCTCTTCTTTCTTTATCATAGTCACTAAAGAGGACTCAATCCATCCTCTGGTATTTTTTTTTTCAAGAAAAAAAGTTAGTTCATCCATCTCTCTTAGTTCTCTAATTTTCCCCAACCATTCATCCATGGTTGGAATATTGTCCTGTTTCCAAAATTTTGCTAAGAATATTCTCGCCACAGTTGTAAAATATGTAAATAATTTATCCTTGTTTTCATTCAACTGTAATTCCAGATCTGTAAAACCTAACAAGTAGTATTCTGGTTTCTTTTTAAATACTCTTTTCCTCATGGACCAATAACCAGTATTTTGATATTTCTTTACAAGTCCACCACATATGATAAAAAGTACCAACCTGATGGCACCCTTTCCAACATTTATCAGAGGAATTTTTGTACATAAGAGCCCATTTTTTGGGAGTGGTATACCACCTGTGGAACATTTTAACCCAGTTTTCTTTCAAATCCATCGCATAAGTATATATCCCCAAACTTGAACTGTCAGCAAGTTCTGCAGCTTAGTGGTTTCACTCGTTGTGCCACTGGGGCCTCCAACTCACTATATAAACAACAGTAAACAATCATTTAATATAATTATTAAAATATTACGGAGCCAAAAAGGAAGGGAAAATCCAAAAGAGTTCTAGGATTTGCAGTTTTTGTATGAGTGGTACTTATTAATCTACTCACATTTGCATGTTTTTGAACTGCTAGGTTGGCAAAAGGTGGGGCTAACAGCGGGAGCTCACTTCGCTCCCTGGATTCAAGCCTGTGACCTTTTGATTAATAAGTTTAGCAGCTCAGTGGTTTAACCCACTGTGAGACCGGGGGCTCCTTCACTAAATGAGCTAGCTGGTGGTTATTGCCTCTGACCATGTGCAGAGTATCTCCAGTGTATATGCATTAACAGATCTACATGATTTAAGGGTATGGTTTTCAGGTGAAGCCCCTCATTCCTCTTGATAGGAAGCAGAAGGAAACTGACCTGTTTGGAATTGTGGGAGTTGAAGTCCAAAACACCTGGAGGGAAGGCCAAAGCTTGCCCAAGCCTGGTCTATATATTGACATACAATACAGTTCTAAGTGCATTATATGACAATAATAATAATAAATAGTAATAATAATAATAATACTTTATTTATACCCTGCTACCATCTCCCCAAGGGACTCGGTGCGGCTTACGTGAAGCCAAGCCCAAGATACATCAATAATAAAAACAATAACAAGTAATTCAGAACAATAAAATAAAACTCATAACAGAAAATAAGCAATAAATGTGAACAGTAACAATCATCCAATCATCATCATCTGCTGAAAATGTAGACACACATAACAAGTACACTTCATAGCAAAACAGCGCAACGTAACACCAAAATAATTATATCCATCGATTAAAAAACATGAAACACATACCTGCATAAACAATTAACAGTTGATTTCCTGTTTTGTTATTAGTATGTATGGAATGTCAAATTATTCTTCCAAACAGGCAAACAAGAACAAAATTCCAGCCATGAAAGCCTTCGACAATACAAAGAACAAAATGTACCGTATGTGCTTCGACTTATAATTTGATCATCAATAATAATAATAATTATAATAACTTCATTTATACCCCGCTGCCACCATCTCCCCAAGGGACTCGGAGCGGCTTACATGAGGCCAAGCCCAACAACACATCAAAAACAAGCAATAATAAAAACAACAAGCAATAAACAAAATAAACAATACGATTAATATAACTTATAAGTAGACAATAACACACAAGAATTTAAAATTCAATTCTCAAAACCTTTTCCCTTTGTTTTGCTTTTCTCATATAGGGCAATGTTTACTAGATGTAATATTTAGGACCACGTCTTTCTGACACAAGGAAATACTTTTGATTTATTTTTTGGCTGTATTGTCGAAGGCTTTCATGGCCGGAATCACTTGGTTGTTGTAAGTTTTTTCGGGCTATATGGCCACGCTCTAGAGGCATTCTCTCCTGACGTTTTGCCTGCATCTATGGCAAGCATCCTCAGAGGTTGGGAGGTCTGTTGGAACTAGGAAAAAGGGTTTATATATCTGTGGAATTATGTTCAGGGTGGGACAAAGAACTCTTGTCTGCTGGAGCTAGGGGTGAATGTTTCAACTGACCACCTTGATTAGCATATAATGGCCTGGCAGTGCCTGGAGCAAACTTTTGTTGAGAGGTGATTAGATGTCCTTGTTTGTTTCCTCTCTGTTGTTGTGCTGTTGTAATTTTAGAGTTTTTTAATACTGGTAGCCAGATTTTGTTCATTTCCATGGTTTCCTCCTTTCTGTTGAAATTGTCCACATGCTTGTGGATTTCAATGGCTTCTCTGTGTAGTCTGACATGGTGGTTGTGAGAGTGGTCCAGCATTTCTGTGTTCTCAAATAAAAATATTTTCTAGATGCTTGGTTCCCAGAAGGCTGTGAGTTTGTTCAATTCTGTTGCAACCGCCTCGTCCATGGACCCATCTATCCTTTAATTTCTCTGTAATTGTTTCGCCTGGGACCTGCGGCTTCCTGATTCCCAAAAATTGCCACATTCCATGCATAAATATGGGATTCTTGTGGCTGAAGTTGTGGCTCTCCTTGTGCAGAAACATCCAAGCAGTACAATGCTCCCTTCACATTTGTGGGTTTGGCTTTTGCGCATTTGAGGCACGCATGGATTTGATTTTTAAATGTTATCTCTGGGAATCTTGAGGTTGTTGAGTGCGACTTTGTGATCAGCTACTAATGGAAAGTTGATTATAGAGCCGGTATGGGCAAACTTTGGCCCTCTAGGTGTTTTGGACTCCAACTCCCACAATTCCTGAAGGCCATCCAAGGATCATAATTTCTCCAAAATTCTTCGTGTTGCATTTTCAGGCCCCACCGATTGCTGTGGCTGCTCTCCGTGCTCCTGGTGGAACAACAACCATGTCGGTGAACGTGACCCTTGGTGGCCCACCTCCTTGGGGCTTCCGGATCACAGGGGGAAGGGACTTCAGGAAGCCCATCACCGTCTCTAAGGTAAGCACTTCATTCTGATACTACTCTGACTGCTGTGGCTCAGTGCTCTGGAATCCTGGGAGCCGTAGTTTTGCAAGGTCTTTGCCAAAGATTACCGGTACCTCCCCAAACTTCCAGTCCTACACAACATTGAGTCAATGGCGCCAAACTGTATTCATTCCATAATGTAGATGCAGCCCTAGTAATTAAAGTATCAAACTGCTACAACTGGATGAAGAGAGATGTTTGCTCAGCAAAGAAAATGTTCCTCTTCCTCAGGTGCATCGACTCCAAGGAAGCATCCTCAGGGAGGATCAAATATCTATCTCGTATCTCAGGCTGAGTTTTGCAGATGTGATGATTTGTGGATTTGATAATCTCAAGGAATATTTAGGTCCTGCAGGGTGACTTTATGGTCAGCTGAAGGACCTAGACATCCCTAGATAAGCGTTCTCTCACTTTTTTAAAAAAATAGTATTTTTTACTGGGTTGCTGTGGGTTTTTTGGGCTGTATGGCTATGTTCCAGTAGCATTCTCTCCTGACGTTTCTCCTGCATCTGTGATCGGCATCTTCAGAGGTCTGTTGGAAATGAGGCTAGTGGAGTGTATATGTACAAGGGATGTTCATTAAAGATTTCCCCTGACCCACTTCCTGTGGACTGAGAGCAATGAAACTTGGCCCAGTTCTGAGTCCTTCTCTCCATGGGTGCCACCTATGAAGGAGCCCCCGGTGGCGCAGTGGGTTAAACCCTTGTGCCGGCAGGACTGAAGACCGACAGGTCGCAGGTTCGAATCCGGGGAGAGGCGGATGAGCTCCCTCTATCAGCTCCAGCTCCTCATACGGGGACATGAGAGAAGCCTCCCATAAGGATGATTAAAAAAACATCAAATCATCCGGGCAATGTCCCCTGGGCAATGTCCTTGCAGACGGCCAATTCTCTCACACCAGAAGCGACTTGCAGTTTCTCAAATCGCTCCTGATACGACCAAAAAAAAAAAAAAACCTATGAAGGACACACTCCTCTCTCATCTTCTGAAGCAACTGTAAACACCTTGCTTGGAGAAGTCGACAGGTTGCTTCAAAAGCCAGGTTGTGGCTTTGGAAATCAGAGTCTTCTCATCTGAAAAAGGCTTGCCCTTCACAAATAACTTACTTGTTAGAAAGAGGTGGAAGTCCGATGGTGCGAGGTCGGGTGAATAAGGAGGATGCGGGACAATTTCAGAGCCAGAGGAGCATGCTTCTTCCATTTGGGCAACATGGGAGTTGTGCACTGGGGCATTGTCTTGCAGAAGGCAGAGGACACCTTTGGGGAGCGTGCCACATTGCCTCTTGGTTTGGATGGCCTCCCGCAATGTCCGCAGCAGTGAAGCCTAGTCTGCCCAGGGATCCTGGTCCCCTTTGCTAGGAAATCCATCCTTACTCCTCTGTTCTGGTCCCAAACTACTGTGAGCATGACCTTTCCTGCCGAGAGTTGGGCACATGCCTTCTTTGGAGGCAGGGAGTCAGGAGGCTTCCATGGCATCAACTGGACTTGAGTCTCAGAATCAGAGTGATGGACCCAGCTTTCCTCCTCTGTGATCAGTCTGTGGGAAAAGTCCTCCTGGCTTCCATGGCACATCATTGTCAACACAGCCTGAGAGCATTTGCTTCGTTCCTGCTTCTGGAAAGGTGTAAGCAGCCGGGAAACTCAGCAGGCAGATGCCTTATGCTGGTGAAGATGGTCTTGAGTGTTTTTCTCCATGGACCCCACACACCTCTTGACATTTTGGGCTAGGTGGTGAATGGTTATGCAGGGATTCTCCAAAATGGCGACCTCCACTTTCTGGATGGTGTGTTCATCAATAGCGAAGTGGCATCGCCCTGGAACTGGAGCTGTTTGCACCAAAGTCTGACCACATTTGAATTATAGAATTATAGAAAGTCTGACCACATTTGAATTATTGAAGCATAGGGAAGCTGATGAGGAAACAGAACATACAAAGTATCTACAGACCCACCAAGAAAATCCAACCAATGCTACATTCAGCAAAGGGCAAGAGGGATCCTCTCACTTCTGCAGGAGTCTACCATTGTATACCATGCAGCTGTGGACAAGTCTACATAGGGACCACCAAACGCAGCGTTGCCCAAACACGAATCAAGGAACATGAGAGGCACTGCAGACTACTTCAACCAGAGAAGTCATCCATCACAGAGCACCTGAGGAACCAACCTGGACACAGCATTTTATTATTTGAGAACACAGAAATGCTGGACCACTCTCACAACCACCATGTCAGACTACACAGAGAAGCCATTGACATCCACAAGAAGCATGTGGACAATTTCAACAGAAAGGAGGAAACCATGAAAATGAACAAAATCTGGCTACCAGTATTAAAAAACTCTAAAATTACAACAGCAAAACAACAGAGAGGAAACAAACAAGGACATCTAGTAATCACCTCTCTACAAAAGTTTGCTCCAGGCACTGCCAGGCAATCAAATGCTCATCAAAGTGGTTAGCTGAAACATTCACACCTAGCTCCAGCAGACAAGAGTACTTTGTCTCACCCTGGTCCTTCCACAGACATATAAACCCTTTTTTCCTAGTTCCAACAGACCTTACAACCTCTGAGGACGCTTGCCATAGATGTAGGCATAACGTCAGGAGAGAATGCCTCTAGACCATGGACATACAGTCCGAAAAAACCTACAACAAGCCAGTGATTCCGGCCATGAAAGCCTTCGACAATACACATTTGAATTGACGAGGCCATTTCTTGACTCGATCATCTGATGGGGAATCATCACCATAATCCTCTTTCATCTCATTCAACATCTCCTTTGTTGTGCGGCCTTTCAAGTAAAGGAACTTGAGGACTGCTCTGTCTTCCACTGGTTCCATTCTCAAACCTCACACCACTTCAGCAACTCTAAAATCAAGACTGTTATCGGTTTTGAGTTGTCAATGGCCACATAACCTCTAGAGACTTAGATCACTGCACGTGTGCAGTTTCAGCATCCTGTGATAAACACAAGTGGGTCAGGGGAAATCTTTAATGAACGCCCCTCGTAGCACCTACGGATTTGGGTATCAGGAGAATGGAAGGTTTTGGAACCAATTCCCAGCAGATACCACTAGACCCGCTGGAGGCCTTTGTGAAGAAACATAGCTGACGAAATAATAATCGTTCCCATGAAAGATGCAGACTTGTTTTGCACTCGAGTGGCACTTCCTTTGAGGCAGTGGAGCACGGACTCAGCCATTCCTGCACCAAATGTCGGCGGAGTTTTGCAGGACATCCTGGAATGCGGAGCATTTGGTGGCTGCATTGGCTTGGGGCATTCGTCTGGAAGGGAAGCTGCCTCTTTCTCTGCCTGGGCACATCGCCAAGCGTGACTCTCTTTCAGTCCAAAGAGGAAAACAAATCCTGTTTACCGTTCCTCTCCCTTCCCTCAAAGACCCAGACTCCCTGGGAACCACCCCATAGCAAACTCCTATGGACTGCAAGCAGCGGGGGGCTAATATATTTATTCCTGCCTCTGATGTCCAGCCTTGCCCAAAGGGCTTTCCTCTGTCTTTTCAGGAGGAAAGGCGCAACGAATGCCTTCTACTTGTATTGCTTTCCCAGCTACTGAAAGCCAAAGTGGAGTGGAGTGCCTTCCATATAATGTGGCTGCAGAAATGTTGAAATACCGCCATCCTCCCCACATGGATGCAATTCTCGTTTATCAATTTGATGATTTTCCAGTTTGAGTCATATGATATCTCAATTTCAAGGTCTTCTACCTGCCCATAGTCTTATAGCCAGAGTACCTAGAGCAGCATTTCTCAAACTGGGGGTCAGGACCCCTGAGGGGGTCAGCAGGAGATTTCAGAGGGGCCGCCAAACACCATCAGTAAACACATATTTCTGATGGTCTTAGGAAACCCTTTGCCAGAGAAGGCTGAAGATCTCTTCGCTTGTCCTTCTCTTCCTTTTAGGAAACACATGGCAAACCCTCTCACTAAAAATTGTGCCTAATTTAGTCCAGATCCATCATTGTTTGGCTTCATAGTGCTCTCTAGATGTAGGTGAACTACATCTCCCCCAAATCACTGTCAATTCCTCCCAAATCCCTCCAGTGTTTTCTGTTGATCATGGGGGTTTCTCAGCTTGCAGGTTGAGAGGGGGGTGCCAGAGGGGTCACCAAAGACCATCAGAAAACACAATATTTTCTGTTTGTCATGGGGGTTCTGTGTGGGAAGTTTGGCCCAATTCTATATTTGGTGGGATTCAGAATGCTCTTTGATTGTAGGTGAACTATCAATCCGAGCAACTACAACTCTCAAATGTCAGGATCTATTTTCCGCAAACTCCATCAGTGTTCATATTTGGGCATATTGAGCATTTATGCCAAGTTTGGTCCAGATCCATCATTGTTTGAGTCCACAGTGCTCTCTGAATGTAGGTGAACTACAACTCCAACACTCAGGCTCAATGCCCACCAAACCCTTCCAGTATTTCCTGTTGGTCATTGGAATTCTGTGTGCAAAGTTTGGTTCAATTCCATCATTGGTGGAGTTCAGAATGCTATTTGATTGTAGGTGAACTATAAATCCCAGCAACTATAATTCCCAAATGTCAAGGTCTATTTATCCCAAACTCCAATAGTGTTTACATTTTGGCATATTGCGTATTTGTCCCAAGTTTGATCCAGATGCATCATTGTTTGAGTCTGCAGTGTGCTCTGGTTTTAGGTGAACTACAACTTCAAAACTCAAGGTCAATGCCCACCAAACCCTTCCAGTATTTTCTGAAGGTCATGGGAGTTCTGTGCACCAAGTTTGCTTGAATTCCATCATTGGTGGAGTTCAGGATGCTCTTTGATTGTAGGTGAACTATAAATCCCAGCAGTGACTTTATAGGAGCTACTTCTGATTATTCAATCTTGGTGGAAAAGTAAAATGTAAGTTATCTAAATAAATAAAACTAAATAAACAGTAGTAGTTGTAACAAAAAGCAAGATAGTTGCACAACAGTTAAATATTGTAAGATACCTAGTTGCATACAGATGGAATCATTGTTTAAAATACTTGTTTTCAAAAAGGAAACGTGGTTCAACGCTTTCACGCTTTCTTGGTTTTTTTCTGGGCAGTTGTTCGGCAGCAGGGGAAGTTTTGCCATTTCTGCGTTTAACTTTCTTCCTGTTTGTCTTTCTGCAATGTCGGTTGTGGCATCGGTAGATATATGAGACGAAGGATAGTCTGCTTTGGAAAAGTTGGGGCGACTAGCAAAAAATAATGGTGCAAAAACACACACATAGGTTTTGCTTTAGCAGATTTAGTTTGGGGACTCGCTTGGAATGTTTCCATCTAGGCCTCCTTAATGTATTTCTACCGAGCGTAATATCCCAAATCCACTTTTAATCTTTGATACGAATGGTGCGTTCATTCTTCCTGCAGGTTAATTTAGTCCGTATTATGAACTAATCCAGAAAAATCATGAATGGTGGTATTTGTTTGGCTATTGGGTCAGCGGCAGAAGGGACAAACTGTACAAAGGGAACAGCATGCCGTTTCTCCCTTCTGAAAGGAGTGCAATGCAGAATATTTCAATACAGTTCACAATCCTTGTTCTCTGGGGTTATGGGCTCAGGACCTCCGTCCAAGTGGAAAACACGTACAAAAAATGCCAAGGACCTGGAGCAGTGCTTCTCAACCTTCCTAATGCCGTGACCCCTTAGTACAGTTCCTCATGTTGTGGTGACCCGCAAACATAAAATTATTTCGGTTGCTACTTCATAACTCTCATTTTACTACTGTTATGAATCGTCATGTAAATATCTGATAGGCAGGATGGATTTTCATTCACTGGATGAAATTTGGCAAAAAACACCCAATACGCCCGGTGAGGGTGGAGTTTAGGGAAAATAGATCTTGACATTTGGGTGTTGTTGTAGCTGGGATTTATAGTTCACCTACAATCCAAGAGCATTCTGAAAACATGGTTGTTCCAGTGTGCCTTCCCAGAGTAAGGAAACTCCAAGCAATATGTCCCCAAATGCACTTTACTAGAGACTCAGGATATCTGCATGCCCCCTCCCCCTCCAAATACCTGCTCTTTTCATCTGGTCATGTCCAGCATATTTTTAATTTTAACTATTACATTTGGCCCTGCCATAGATTTTAATGCATTGTGGTGTTTTGTTAATGTTTATTACTTTGTTTTGATTTTATTTTGTTGTATTGTTGTTGTTGTTATTGTTTTTTACTGATGTATTTGGGCTCGGCCTCTTGTAAGCCACACCGAGTCCTCCGGGGGATGGTAGCGGGGTACAAATAAAGTATTATTATTATTATTATTCCACCAACAAAATTGAGCCAAATTTGAATATTGGTGGGGTTGGAGGGGATTGATTTTGTCATCTGGGAGTTGTAGTTTATAGTTCACCTACAATCAAAGAGCATGCTTTACTCCACCAACGATGGAATTGAAGCAATCTTGACACACAGAACTCCCATGACCAAGGGAAATTACTGGAAGGGTTTGGTGTGCATTGACCTTGAGTTTTGGAGTTGAAGTTCACCTCCATCCAGAGAGCACTGTGGACTCAAACAGTGATGACTCTGGACCAACCTTGGCACGGATACTCAATATGCCCAAATGTGGACACTGGCAGAGTTTGGGGGAAACAGATCTTGACATTTGGGAGTTGTAGTTGCTGGGATTTATAGTTAACCTACAATCAAAGAGCATTTTGAACTCCACCAATGATATAATCGAACCAAACTTGGTACACAGAACTCGAAGGTGCGAGAAGAGGGTGGCACAGGGCGGCAGAAGCAGCGAGGCTTGTCCTCCTTCTCTTCCAGGGTCTTCCCCCTCCTCCTCTCTGTTTGGAGGTCCCCAAACGGAGAGGAGGAAGAAGAAGAGCCCCAAGGAGAAGGGTGAGTGCAAGCCTCGCTGCTCCTGCTGCCCCACACTCCTCTCGCGGCTTTTTGAGGCTTCCACCACCAGCAGCGGCCTTGAAGGGGGCAAGAAGAGGGTGGTCCCGGGGCCTGGGCACTATTTCCGGAGTTGGAGGGGGCGGGGCCAAAGGAGGCAACCTTGCGACCCCTCTGAAATGGCCAGGCGACCCCTCGGGGGGGCGCGACCCCCAGGTTGAGAACCACTGCGCTACATCGATCTCTCTCTTCTCTTTTTGTGCGCAGGTGACCGAACATGGCAAAGCAGCCCTTGGAGACCTTCGTCCAGGTGATGTCATCGTCTCTATCAACGGAGAGAGCACGTCGGAGATGCTCAACGTAGAAGCACAAAACAAGATTAAGCAGAGCTCTGGGCGTCTCCAACTCTTAATAGACAGGTGAGCCTATCTGTGCGGCTAATGCAAACTGAACTGGGCGCAATTGCCTTGGGGTTCCCAATTTCATGGATACCTTCAGCCATTTGCATTCCTCCTCTTAGGGTATTGTTTCCTCGTCCTTGTTCTTCTGTGACCAAAATGCCAGTGCTGGCAAAGGGTTGCTGGAAATTGTAGGTTCAAAACGTATGTTTCCACTGTGGCTTCAACTCTGGCAGTCTTGATAGGCAACTGAAATAATAGCTAACGGCAACTGATTAAAGACTGAAGCAACTGGAAGCAGCAATTCTGGGCGCAAAGTGTGCCGGGAGACAAAATGCCGGCATTCAGGATTTGCAGTGTTTGTGATCTCCTAGCTTGGGTACCCGGCGGTGCCCGGGTTATTTGAAAAAGGCATTGTTTGTTTTGGGGTGTTAGGTCACAGCATTTAGTTAATTAGTAACACTATTTATTAGGAGAAAGCCAGAATGTGATTTCATTTTTAATGAATCCTCCCATTATAAAATACATAACGAAGTGGGTGTACTACAATTTCCAGAATTGTGGGTCAGTCCTCCCCAAACCAGGCCTGTATGCACAGTTGGCCATGTTGTGTCTGTGTGCCAAGTTTGGCCCAGATCTGTTGTCGACTGCGTTGAGTGCTCTCTAGATAAGGGTGAACAACAACTCCCAGATTCCCAGGGCAATCACCCCCAAACCCAGCCAATATTTACACACAGCAGCCTTCACACTGGTTGCTTTCTCACTCGAGGCTTCTCTCACACAGAGGTTTACCTCACACTCCTCAGGATGACACTGGCTTTTGCTCACTATAACTCTAACAGGCTTTGGCTCACAGTGGTTGAAGTGCTGAGCTTCTGAACTTGCTGACTTGAAAGATCGCAGGTTCGATTCCGGGGAGCGGGGTGAGCTCCTGCTGTTAGCCCCAGCTTTTGCCAACCTAGCAGATCAAAAACATGCAAATGGGAGTAGATCAATAGGTACCACTTTACGGGAAGGTAATTGTGTTCCATGCCAGCCACATAACCTTGGATGTCTACGGACAACACCGGCTCTTTGGCTTAGAAATGAAGATGAGCACCAATCCCCAGAGTCGGACACGACTTGACTTAATGTCAGGGTAAAACCTTTACCTTGACCTTTATATAGTAAATTATAGTAAATTAAAGTCCCTTCGGTCTGTGTGCCTTGGAAGGTACAGGGAGAAATCACGACCATTTATGATCTTGAGATGTTTCTATACAAACAGAGCTTGAGGCCAGGGCTCTGAAATGAGTTTGAGAACGGCTTTGGATTTTGTGGGTTCTGGAGCTGGCTGGGGGTTGAGTGAGCATTGGCTTCTCTTTCAGTGTTCATGACTTGCATATTTTTGGCTTTGGGAATCAGCTAGTGGTTTGGAAAGCAAAGCATAGCTAAGCTGGGATGGGTTAGCTGGAAAGGGAAACAGCGCTAGGAGTTGTTCCTCTGCTGCCCAGGACTGACTGGTTTGAATGCTTGAAGCAACTCTGTGGCAGGAGGAGAAAAGGGATCCCAGGCCTTGATTTGCCCTCTGGATAGAGGATGTCTGGCTTATGTTGGTCAGACTCACTTCTTGTGCAAGTTTGGTATGTCTTGGGCATGCTTGTGTCCTTCCCCATTTTTGTTGTTGCTTATTCGTTCAGTCGTTTCTGACTCTTGGTGACCTCCTGGACCAGCCCAGGCCAGAGCTCTCTGTTGGCCGTATCCACCTCCAGCTCCTTCAAGGTCAAGCCAGTCCCTTCAAGGACACCATCCATCCATCTTGCCCTTGGTCGGCCCCTCTTCCTTTTTCCTTCCCTTTTCCCCGGCATCATTCTCTTCTCTGAGCTTGCCTGTCTTCTCATGATGTGGCCAAAGGACTTCATCTTGACCTCTCATCTCCTTCCCTCCAATGAGCAGATGGACTTTCTTTTTGGAGGATGGTGTTGGGACTCAGCCTGTGATTGAACCTGAGCCTGTGATTGTGTTTCGGTCTCCTGATGTTTCTGTGTCTGATGTGGGTCATGAGGAGGGAAATCAGTCCCCTGTTGCTCCTGATGTGGGGGATGCTGGGACTGACTCTGAGGTGCAAGATGGAGACACTTTGGTCAATTAAGTTTCATGCAGACACTGACAGAGAGGCTTTGGTGCAAAGGGCAGAGTCTCATGAGAATCTGGGTTGTTGTAGGTTTTTCCGGGCTATATGGCCATGTTCTGGAGGCAATTTTCTCCTGACGTTTCGCCTGCATCTATGGCAAGCATCCTCAGAGGTAGTGAGGTCTGTTGGAAGTAGGAAAATGGGTTTATATATCTGTGGAAAGACCAGGGTAATGTTTCAGCTGATCACCTTGATTTGCATTCAATGGCCTGGAAGCGCCTGGGGGGAATCTCTTGTTGAGAGTGAATTGATGTGCCTGATTGTTTACTCTCTGTTGTTTTGCTGTTGTAATTTTTGAGTTTTTTAATACTGGTAGCCAGATTTTGTTCATCTTCATGGTTTCCTCCTTTCTGTTGAAATTGTCCACATGCTTGTGGATTTCAATGGCTTCTCTGTGTAGTCTGACATGGTGGTTGTGAGAGTGGTCCAGCACTTCTGTGTTCTCAAATAATATGCTGTGTCCAGGTTGGTTCATCAGGTGCTCTGCTATGGCTGACTTCTCTGGTTGGAGTAGTTTGCAGTGCCTTTCATGTTCCTTGATTCGTGTCTGGGCAATGCTGCTGCATTTGGTGGTCCCTCTGGAGACTTCTTGTCCCCATCTGCATGGTACATGGGAGACTCCTGCAGAAGTGAGAGGATCCCTCTTGTCCTTTGCTGAACTTAGCATTTGTTGGATTTTCTTGGTAGGTCTGTAAGTGGTTTGTATGTTGTGTTTCCTCATGCAAATCAAGGTGATCAGCTGAAACATTACCCTGGTCATTTCACAGATATATAAACCCATTTTTCCTACTTCCAACAGACCTCACTACCTCTGAGGATTCTTGCCATAGATGCAGGCGAAACGTCAGGAGAAAAATTGCCTCCAGAACATGGCCATATAGCCCGGAAAAACCTACAACAACCCAGTGATCCTGGCCATGAAAGCCTTCGACAATACATTCTCATGAGAATGTTTCTGTCAGTCCTTGGGAGGAAGGTTTACTCCCTCCGCCTGTGAGCTCTCCAGATTCTAGTTTGGAAAACAGTCTGACACCTGGTCAAGTTAATGAGGAGTCAGATAAGCAGAGTCAGCGGCTGGAGATTAGCCAGAATCAACAAGAGGCCCAATGTTTACGTAGATCCAAAAGAATTTGTTAGTTAAGGTCAAAGACAGGAGGAAAACAAAACCAGTTTTTGGGATTTAAGATTTGCCTTTAGAAAATCTTGTCAGATCAGGCATTGTTTGGAAACCAAGCACAACTCTCATGGAATTCCTGTTCAAGTGGTCTCGTCTTCATGGTTTTTTCTAGCCTTTCAAGTTGACTAGCAGTGTCTGGTCTGTTCTTGCTTCTTGGTTGATTCCTGTCTGGATAATCATTGCCTTGGATTGTATCTTCATGCTTTTTGAACATTGTTTTTGATTGCTACGTTTTATCTTTTTGCTACGTTTATCTTTTGTGTTTTATCTGGCTCCCTTTGAATGCCTTATTGCTTTTTGGAATCTTATCTATCTTTACAAGCATTTATTTCTACTGGCTTTTTTTTTGCTAAGCTTTAGTAAAAAGGATTGTTCCTTCACTCAATGTGTGGTGTGTTTATAGTCAGAGGGGCCATTTCCTGTTCTGGAGTGCAACTGATGGACTGGTTGGATCTTTCTTTTGATCCAAGGTACTCTCAGCATTTTCCTCCAGCACCACATTTCAAAAGTGTCTCTCTTCCTTGGTCAGCCTTCTTTCTGGTCCAGCTCTCGCATCTGTAGGTTACTACGGGAATACCATGGCTTTGACTATGTGGATCTTTGTTGCCAGTGTGATGTCTCTTCACTATCTTATCGAGATTGGACATTGCTCTTCTCCCAAGAAGGAAACATCTTCTGATTTCACTGTTCTACAAATTTTCAGTTTTTCTCAGTTACGGAAACGAAATGTAACGTTTCTTAATAAATGTAACATGCTGAATTCAAATATAATAATTAAATGTGTTAATTGGCTCTGGTTTTTATGCAACAGCTATTTCAATTTTCTCCACAATAGGTAATTCGTTAATATTATGATAATGCGCCTAACCTTACTGCATGTATATAAACCGTGAATATTTACTAAATTTAGTCAAATTATATTGCCAATAGTTTATACATGAGAAATATTTATTTAATTAGTCTATTGTTTATGTTTGTGCAGCAAGAAACTATATTCGTAGGCCTAATGCAGTTGAAAAGTCTGAAAGTTTAAATGTCGCTTTAATCGTGACTTGAGTTTATCCTGTTTGCTTCTCTTGACTTTTCTTTTGTATCCAAGGAAAGGATTCCCTCTCCTAATGAATGCTCCAGCAGGAGTCTGACAGCATTGACGGAGTCCATCGGCCTTGATCTCTTTTTTCCATCGTGCTTTATTGACACACGTGCGAGGAGGCAGAACTACAGTATTTATTTATCGTGTCATCAGCAACCATACCATTGTATTACAATTCTACCAGAGCAAAACAAACACAGAGATTAAAAAGAAAAAGAAAAAAGAAAAAAAAACCACACAGATTTTGTAAATTTGGTATTTGGTTAAATGTCCTTTGACCAGTAGCTGGCCACTTGGAGTGCTTCCGGTGTTGCTGCAAGGCAGTCCTCCATTGTGCATGTGGCAGGGCTCAGGTTGCATTGCAGCAGGTGGTCAGTGGTTTGCTCTTCTCTGTACTCGCATGTCGAGGATTCCGCCCTATAGCCCCATTTCTTGAGGTTGGCTCTGCATCTCGTGGTGCCAGAGCGCAGTCTGTTCAGTGCCTTCCAAGTCGCCCCGTCTTCTGTGTGCCCAGGGGGGAGTCTCTCATCTGGTATCACCCACGGATTGAGGTTCTGGGTTTGAGCCTGCCACTTTTG